TAACATCTACATTTTTGATAGGATTATAAAAGAGTCAAACTAGATTGTTTGCCAGCAGGAGGTGTTAAGTCAATTTATTTAGAGGTCGTCAACTATGTGGTTTTGAACTCGAACTTCTGTGGAAAAGACATCTGGAAACAGTGTTTGCAATTGCAGAAGGGAATTCCACTGGCGCAATGAATTGGTCGTCAAATAAATTGACACCTGATAACGACAAGTCTCGTATGAGAAATCTGTGTTTGTTTTTCCAGTGACTGGAGGGCTGGGCGCGATAAAGATAACACGCAATAACCGCCGATAACGTGTTGTCTTTTGTTTTTCTCGCTTTTCCCGCTTCCCATCCATAACACCCAACGGTTGAACTGTTGTCGTGCGAAAAATACATGTCTGAGTGATATGCGTTTCTTTTTTTGGCCAAAACAACAAGAAGATGGTTTTCATTCTTGGCTATCTCACAAGTTTACCTTGCGTGAAAATCGCAGCGGAGGGGCGTGAAAACCACGTCAGCACCAAAGGCTGATTCAGGTCTGAAGTACAGGGTTAAGGCTCGTCTACAATAGGAGGCGTAGAGTGCAGGCGTGGATCGTGGGTTTAGGTATTAGCGAGGTCGTGGGGTAGCGACGGCTAAAATGTCAACATAGCTCATTGGAAGGCACTGAGGAACGAAAACAGAACAGGGAAACCTTGCTAAAAACCTGCACAGCAAAAGCGAAAACCGAAAATAGTTTTCCACGACCTGCGCCTGCGACCCTACGCCGTCTATTGTAGACGAGCCTTTAGGGAGGCTACGCCGTCCCCTGTAGTAGGTCGACCTTATGGCCCCGCGCGAGTGTGCAACCCGCCCGCACGCTTGCCTACGTCACAGTTTAAACCAGAAGGGCCGCAGCTTAGAACACCCACCCTGAACGTGCCCAACAGGCAGCTCTAGCTCCCTCGGCTGCGGGCCGGGCCCGGGCCGGGCTGCGCTGGGCTGCGCTGGGCTGCGCTGGTCCGCCGCGCCGGCCGGGCGGGGCAGGCGGGGCGAGCCTCATAGAGCGGCTAGAGCCTGGCTCCCCTGCAGGCCCGCGCCGCGTGCCTGCCCAGCGGGACAGTATCCTTCGCCTGCACGCCACGCTGCGTGCGTACCGGACTCGTAGAGGTACTTGTAGCAGGTCCTTAGCGAAATGCGACGTCGATGATGTTTCGGATCGCGCGCACCGCACTGGAAAAAAGCTTGCGGCGAATTTCACCGTAAGCTCAGTCAACCCCTATGCAGCACCGATGGGGAGGGACAACTTTTGCACGTAGGTAAGATCTGGCCTTGTGCACATCTACATCAGATACAAAATTTGAACCCACGTTACAGACAAAGTAAAGCATTTTTGTACCTAGAGTGTGAATGTCACTTGCAAGCTGCAAGCCTCGGTAAAGCAGGGTGCTTCACCGTAACCTACAGTGATTTTCACGGATTTTCACGATTTTCATCACATAATCTATAGTACTGCTGTGTTCACTGTGGCTTACGGTGAAATTCGCCGTAAGCTTTTGTCATCTGCTAAAACCAGATTATTTTGTATTATTACTTTGTGCGGCTTCAAAGCAACCCTCAATGATTCGGGGGTTACAGGAAGGATGGGCCGTTCTTGGCCGGGGTAGAGGTCGCCGTGCAACAGAGACGCTGCAGTCAGCCTCTCGGGTGTCGCGCCGCTGCGCTCAGGGTCCTCGCCGTGGTCGCACCGCGCACGGCCGCGCCGCCGTCAGCCGTCCGTCTGTTTGCTCTTCGCGCCGAACAATGCCCGACAATGCAGGCCGTGCCGTGCAGGCCCGCTGCCAGCAGATAGCGGCAGCACAGCGCAGCAGCCCCTCCGCGGTGCCCCCTGCCACTTTCGACACGTCAAAAGCCATCGGCACTGCAAGTCAGAGGTGCAGGCCTGTGGTGAGAACCTTGTCGTGCAGGTTACCATGCTCAAGGTACTCGGTGTCCCGTTGGTGGACACCTCCTGCGTCCCATGGTACACCAGCTCTTCTATATCATGTCAACACGAAGGTGTCCAGCAGCTGTGCGAAGCAAGTCGTACAACGTAAGTCACACAGTTGCTGCAGTTGGCTCTCGATTTACGGTGTACTTTTGGGTGATTATGTGGGCTCCGGCTGATTCCTCGTCGTCGTCGTACCAAACACAAAGTGCCCCTCGGTGCCCCCTCCCCCTTCCTCTCCCGCGGGGCCCCGCCGCGGCAGCAAGGGCGACGCCCAAGGCGACGCCTGGACGCCGGGCGCCGATTGGCCGCGCTGCCGCCGCTGCTGGCGGCGCCGCAGGTGCGCACCCGTCACCATTGGTCCTCCGCGCCGCGAGGAGCCATTGGCCGCCGGGCGGACGGAACGGCTGCCCTGTTCTGTACGGCGCACAGAGACAGGCATCCTGCACTAGAATACTGCACACGGGAAATCCGCCGATTTTGCTTGCGGTTTGTTCTTCCGAGGCTCTGTGTCGTCCCGCGAAAAAGGCCTGTCAACGTACGGAAGGCATTTTAAAGGTTGCTTTGGAATTCCCTTGACACGCCAAAATTTGGCATTTGAAGTGGCCACGGGCGACAGGTTTTAGAGATTGCTTCCCGATTTATATGAGGAAACCTTCCAGGTGTGTGAATCAGCTGCTTTGTGTACTTCATATAATGCATTCTTTCAAGGTGGGTCATTTATTGGTCCTCTTTTTTAGAGCCTTTGGAGATGAGATGGGGAAAACATTTGTTGTTGCATAGTTAGCTCGTGAAATGGGGAAATAAAGGATTAAGGTTGCTGCAGAACACTGCAGACGTTTAGCATACACAGTAATGCATGGATTCCCAAGGACTCGACGAAGGCCCCGGTCGTAATATAATAATAATGTGTTGCGGCTCCGAAGCATTTTATAGTCCGATTCAGGGAAACACACTCGTAAAACCTGAGGGGCTTCATAGAACACGCTGACCAGCTCCAGCCCTCTTCCTCGACAACACTGTGAGTGTGAAGAGTTACGAGATGAAACACTCTTTAAAATAAGCGGTGCATCCACTCTTTCAAAAATTGAAAAAGGTGAAAAGGTATGAGGACAACAAGAATAAGTTTGTGGATCGTGATTTGGTCGGCTCTCGACCCTCACAAACCCTCAGTACAAGCGCGACTTTTCAAGAACTAAGGACGTGTTTGTTCTGCTGCATTCGCATTCCCCACCCGAGAACTCATTCCAGTATTTTTCTTATCATGGAATTATTTACTGAAACTAGTGTGAGGTGGCGGGAGATTCAAACGCACGTGCGCATACCGCTCGCCTGCCGATACTCCCCGCCGCGGAGTCCTTCCCGTCGAGCTCCCGACCTGGTCCGAGGGGCGCCCACCTCACCTACGCCCGCCCCGCTCGGTCACAGGCTGCCCGCCCCGCCTCTCTCCTCGCTGCTCGGACAGGCCGCAGTTTGGCGTCGTAAATCTGAACCGACAGACCCGCCCCGCCCCGTTCCTACCACACGGGCCCCCGCGCTCCAATATTTGGCCGTCCCGTACATTCCCGAGCCCATCACAGAACTTCAATGCTAATTCATCCCTGAAAATGCCGCGGGAGTGCTTCTGTTGAACTGGGGAGAAGAGAGGCAAGTAAGGGGGAGGGGGGATTGACGGGACGGCTAAAGACAGCTTTGTCTGCTTTAAAAAAAGAGGAGGATCCTGCAGATACTCTTTTTGTCATCGTCCTGCCGACCTGCGGCTAAGGCAGTCAGGCGTAAGGGGCCTTTGTTGCGGCCTGTTGCACTACAGGCCGCATGCTGTGGACTCCTGGCCTATGGCCTATGGCTCCCTCGGGGGGAGAACTGCCTCTGCTGATACGCATGCCCTCGAGGACTTAAGCATCCTTTATTTGAATAAAGTATTCCCGAAAATCTGGATAGAAGAGGAATGCGAGGACCAATAATGCGTGGAAGTAGCAGGTTGATGAGTTGTCCAGAGGCTGCTGGTTGACCCAGCCCACCGCCAGCGTTCTTGTGTCGGCTTGCAACCCATTCTCTCTGACAAGGGGTCTTTTCAGGCCTGAGCGTATATGGCCATGACATAGCCGAATACCTGTTATCGTTCGATCGAGGGTGAGAGACCAAACCCAAGCACGGCGACATGTGTTTCAGAGTGGTTCATTGGCAGATGGCACTTTAACTCTTAAACACAGGGTGGCCTTCCTGAAATCACACAACTGCACAGCGGTACCCACCCAGCCCATTGAAGAGAGGGAAAAAGGGTGGGGGGAATAAGCCACCTGGTACATTCATTAGCCGAGCGCCATTGGAACGGGAGGCAGCGGCGTTGGCGACGTGGCGACACTGATGAGAAACTTTTAAGTACTTCACGGCCTGCCACCGGAACGGTGGTCAGCCGCTGTGAGGGTGTCGGGTTCTCCTCTGTAAACGTTTCGTGGAAGCGGCGCGACAGGCTCGGCCGTTGGAGGCGGCGGAGCCCGGTGCAGTCACGCAGCGTTACGCCCTGTTGGAGCCGTGGTCCGGCAGCTGCAGCGCACGCTGGGCATGTGCCGGCTGTGGCGCACCCCGCTCGCACCCCGCCGTGCGCACCCCGCGTCACTTTACTTTTGCGCCTTTTGTCGGCCTACAACCCTATGTTGTCATAAGTTACGACCAGGTTACGACGTCGGCGTTTATTGAAGGGAGCTGGCTGAAAGGGGCTTTTTTTTGGGGGGGGGGGTACTGGGTGTCTTAGAGCGGACACCACAGGGTTGCGGCATTTCGTGTGTGTTCGAGCCGCCTGGCGCCTTCTGGCGCCTGGCTCTTAACTGGTAAGGGGGGTGGGCATGGGCAAACCGGCAAACCCCAACGGCACCCGCCTGCCTTCACCCGGTACCATGTCCCGTTTAACAACTGTATCACAAAAAATTCTCCATGCGATAACCGGCTTTTACGTCGACGGGCATGATCGCTTTCAATTCGCCTGCGTCTTTCAAGAATACTGCGCCAGTGTGCTGATCCCGGTCCTGGTCCTTTCTGTTTCAGACACCAACAAGGTGCGGCACAGCTACCAGGGCCACAACGTGCTGCACTTCCGATTTTCGCAAAAGGTGGTCCAGAGCCAGGTGGCCAAGGCCACGCTGTGGGTGTACGTCCGGGGCACGGGCCGCACAAACTACCGACGATACGAGGACGAGCGTCGTCGCGAGGAAGACGACGACGACGACGACGAGGAGGGAGAGGAGGACGAGGAGGAGGAGCTACCTCCCACCGTGCTCGTGAGGGTCATGCGGATGCGCAGGGGCAGCGCCGCTGCCGACGCGTCCGTGCCCTTCGAGCTGGAGTCCACCGCCAAGGTGGAGCAGCCCGAGGGGGACGGAGTCTGGGTCACGGTGGATGTCAAGAAGATGGTCGAGGACTGGTTCCGCAGGCCACGCGACAACCTGGGGCTCATGGTGTTTGCCAGCGCGGGCGCGGACGGCAAGCAGCTCGTCTACACAGACACGAACGAGGAAGACAATCCAAAGGTGAGCGTCGATCACCGTCAAGGAATAGTATATTTCTCTTCGATTTCAACCGAATTCCTGAAGCCGAAGCTACGCGCACACGGTAAAAACAATGTCTCATTTTTTGAGGAGAAAGGGAAAACTTTGAGGATCTCCCAGATTTGAGGAGAACTCCTTAAATCTCGCCTCAGATTTTGAGGAACCTCCTCAAAAAATAAGGAAGAGTGCCATGTTTTTTAAGGAGACTTCCTCGAAATCTGAGGAGCTTTCCACAAACCAAGGGAGTTCCTCAAAGTTTTCACTTTTTCCTGAAAAAAGGAGACATTGTTTTTACCGTGCATGGAGAACATAGTGAAATGTAATTCCTGAGTCAAACTTAAATTTAAAGTGCCCTTAAATCCTGGTAAAACTTCAATAATTTGACCAAAACTTACATATATATTTCTAAAATGTTATCGCCCTCTGTTATCGGTATGTTTCCGCTAAAATGTAAGTGCCATCGAGGATGCCCCCGTTCCCTTATTCCCGCCTCCTAGCAAACGCACCCTCTGTTTCCTCGTTCTGTAAATAAACGTGAAACACAACGCTTTTGCCGTGTGCGCAGATGCCGTTCATCGAGGTGTACCTAAAGGACGGGCGGGCGCGGCGCGTACGGCGCAACCTGGGCCTGACTTGCACGGAGGACGAGGAGGAGACGCGCTGCTGCCGCTACCCGCTCGTCGTGGACTTCGAACTGTTCGGCTGGGACTTCATCATCTTCCCCAAACGCTACGAGGCGAACTACTGCTCGGGCGAGTGCCAGTTTCTGTACATGCAAAAGTACCCGCACACCGCGCTGATCAACATGGCCAGCAACAAGACGGGGCCGTGCTGCGGCCCGCGTAAAATGACGTCCATCAACATGCTCTACTTCGACAGCGACCTCAACGTAGTGTTCGGCGTGCTTCCCGGCATGGTGGTGGAGCGCTGTGGCTGCTTTTAGGGCCTGTTGACTGTGCACCAAATGGTACAATCCTCCTATTTGTGTAGAAAAAAATACAAAAAAAAGTAGATTCCATTAAATCAGTAAAATTCATCCAGAATAGATTAGGGATTAGACGTCACAGCCTTCCTTAAGGGCACATATCTATTGAGTTCTTGGTGTCCCGCATTTCGAGGAAGCCCCAAAGAATTCTGTAAATTATTTTCTTCGGCGTTCGTGCATTTATTGTTTATACTTTTCTAGTGGGAGGTTGACAGTGTAGATGATGAAGATGTTACGCTCGTCAATGATAAGATAAATATATGTCTATGCGATTTATTTATATAGACAGCGATGGTGGTGAAAGAGAAGAGGAGAAGGGAATGGATGAGATGGGAATTGTTCTAAATAAGATAACAAACATGGTTACCAAATCACAAGAATGGTAAGATCTCAATTACGATGCGTAAAGAGTTTTGTACATACATTAGTTCTGTAAAATGGACGTGGCGGGTGATTACACACGTTGATTAGAAGGGTGAATGGAAATGAGAGACGTGTGCGTGAGTGTGTGGAAAAGTAATAAAGAATAATGTACGAATGAGAAACGTAGTGCGTGAATTCTTCAAGAAGTTGCGTAAGTCTTGGCGGAAATCTAAAATAAGTGACAGGTGTGTATTTGTGAGTGTGTGCGTGTATGTGTGTGAGTGAGAGAGCGCGTGCATGTAGAGAGAGGGTGAGAATGTCGTGTGTATGAATGAAAATGCGTAACTGCTTTTAAACCAAGTACAGCTAGCGCAGAATGAAGCAGGCTGACACATCTTGTACATGATACCGCAACGTGTTTTGCTCTCTTGCCTCGTCCAATCAAATCCGTCCATTACTGCTTTTTCCCCTTTGTATTGATTCGTGCAGTATCGTGCACAAAGCCCCCGGAGCGCTCGGAGGCCCGGTGATAGAGCACGAGGGCAATAATTAAGTCCAATGCACTATTTTATACCTTTCATATAGTTGTTTTGCAATTTGGCTGAGGAGTCACGAAAAATTTTCTATTTACGAAACTGTAAGTCATACTTAATTCTTGTAGAACTGTAAAGTATTAAAAGACAAGCTTCGGGTAAAAATATTGTTGGGTGGTGTGTTGTTACGGATGACGATGGTGGTAACCCGCTCCTCAGATGCCAAGTTCCTTGTGGCACTCAAGTAACAAAGTGTTATCGTAGGTAACAATTTCATTGTGATATTGTCTGACTTTTATGATAGTTATAAGCAACTGAAAATTAAACTAGATCAATTATATTGTCGACTCTTATTTATTCTATCATCCTCTTTTTAAAACGACACGTGACATCAAAGTCAGTACAATCAACAACAAAAACAACAAAAAGGGGCGGTTTGAGACCCGGGCTTACAAAGGGGGCGATGTACTGCCGGTTGACTACGTACAGGGGTTTTGTAGC